CTACAGTTATCTAAATTTCTTGGTCTAATGCTGACATAGTAAACCGTTTGCTATACTTTATGCCTGCTTTCTGGCGAAGTACAGTGAATTTTTGCAACTCGTGAAATGTGCCGAAATTTACAAAACTGCTAATTAATCGCAAACGGATGGACCAAAACTCTGAATTAATGATGAACAAATTTGAGTGAATTAAAAACAAAATATCAAAAGTAATATTCTGTTATTTAGAAATTCGAGTCTTCTTGGCAAAGCGCGAATTCCGAAGACGTCGAAAATCGTTGTGACTGGACAGTCTTCAGTCTTGGGTGTGCAGGAAGCCTGTCCATGCAAACAACTGAGTAAAGAAGACAGCACGAGTAGAGTAACGTTTTAAAGTAGTAGTTTAGTCAAGCCTGCACTTAAATATCCCACAGGAATTAGTGTCATGTCAATCGTGACGGTTAGCCAACAGCCTGAAGTTTGATCTTAGATTTCAAAACGGTCTCACTAGAATTTGCTGCAACCTTCGCATTTTTTGCATCGCACTAAACACCGTTGACTAAGGCAAACAGAAATTCTCTTGAGCCATCAGGACATACCATACTTGACAGCATAGGTACTAGCTACAAGCCCAGACACGTATTTCGCCGATACCCCGCCTACGCATGGTACACCTGCGAGGAGTTCGGCTCATCAGTGGGTCCCCCGGCGTCCCCTGTGCTTTTTCTTGATTTCGCCCATGGGGACGTCACAGGAATAAAAGCAGTAAGATCACATGGGAAATTGGCAAAGTCTGTTTATAGTTTTTGCCGAAATACGTTGAGTTTCAGATCGCCCTTGAAATGTCTGAATATTCCATGATGTTCAGTGTTTTCGATCGGTTCCCCATGAAAGTAGACTCTGTGCTATGTGTTTGTTTTGTCAAAACCTCCAAAATAAAGCATTTCTTGAAAGCATTTACCGAAGTAGTGAGGGCTTGGACCTTTTTTCCAATCCAGATGGCCGTTCGGGTCATATTTGTAGCATCACCCAAACATGAATTCTCACTGCCAATGTAAATGAACATCTTTGCCGAAAATTGGCAATTAATACGCCCTAGAGCAACTGAAAAACCTCCTTAAATAGGTCACCTCTTTGAAAAGTGTTTCGATAAAGTAGTTTGCTGACGAATGTCTGCGTAATTCATCTTTTTCCAAGTTAAAGTCGGGGTAAGAATTGGAATGTCTGCTCAGTTCTTTCACTTCCCTGAAAAGCAGTGATAATTCTTCTGCTGCAAGCGAAAGAAACCACCCTCTTTACATTTGAATCATCTTTGCTATATTTGCTTACTCTAAGGCTTCGTTCTGCGATTATAAAAGCACAACAGAGTGGCCATATAAACTTTAAGTTATTGTCAAAACCGCCAATCTTCTGTCCATTCTGTTTCTAAATTACGCATTAGTGGAAACTAGACTATAAAAATTATCGTATCATATACCTAGAAACTGGCACAGCCCTTTGGTTGAGGGCATTCTTGTGGTAAGTAAGTGGGTATTCTCAATGGGCTGGAAAATGTCGGAACGTGTAAACAAGGGATTGCCTGCAGGCGCACTTTCCGCATTATAGGGCATGGTATCACACAGATTTGTGTGTCCAATTTTTAAATAGGTAAAACGTTTACTTTTCTAAACATAACCTTCTTGCTTACACTCTCTTCCATCTGAAGAAAAGGAATTTCCAAGTGTGGCGAGTTCCGTTTCCCAAAACTCGAGTTTAGTATACTCTTCTCTGATAGGGCAACACGCACGGGTGCGCATACTTGGTACAGGACAGTTATTAGCATATGAAACTACTCGGATACAAGGCAACTCTGATCTCCACCTGAATTTGCAAGCATTCCTATTGATAAAATTACTTTTAAGCACATTCTGCGTGCAAAAAGGACATTTTGCGGAGCTGCCTAGACGAGCAAATCAAATATGCAAGATTTTAGGTGCTTAGAATTGACCGTTTCAATTTTCGTTATCACGTTTTATGGGGTAGACTGCATACTATAGTTCTCTACCATCCTCAAATTGTGTGCGTAATCACTAAGCAGGGTCAGTAGAAAAATGACAAGAGGGGCTACGGTCAAGGCTGCCCTGCTCTATTTATGAGAAAATGGGCCACCACATGTCTATGATGCGCATGCGATCGAGACGCTTGACTACTAATGCCTCTGAGGAACACTAACGTGGCTACCATTCATGGATCTCATCTCGTAAGTGGAACTCCACCACTGTTCGCGGACATCTGGTGGCGATGCGCTAAGAGGTTGTAGTCTTAGATGCTCCAGTTAGTACTCCGTCCACACGGAACGGAGGTTATCGACAACGTCATCTCTCTAATCTCTCGGCGTCAGCGCCGATCAGGTTACGGAACATGCTCGTTCCGTTGTGCCTTGGGGCTCATACTAGAACCCTCGCAGACAGTCGCACAGCGACTAGTAGTAGACATAGATGGTAGAGCGTCAAACTCCATGACCAAAGATCCCGGGTTCGAATCTCAAGTGATCCACACTTGGGGTTGGGTATGACTGGCTGATGACGGCTAATAAGCCAGAAATGGCCATTCCGGTCTCCCTTGTCTTTGTCGGTATCATCTCGTCTATGTCTACTACTAGTCGCTGTGCGACTGCCTGCGAGGGTTCTAGTATGAGCCCCAAGGCACATCGGAACGAGCATGTTCGTAACCTGATCGGCGAGCGCCTACTGTCATAATTAATATTCCCGATCACAACCGACAGGACAACGGGCCCGTGGCTCAATGGTAGAGCGTCAAACTCCATGACCAAAGATCCCGGGTTCGAATATCAAGTGATCCACACTTGGGGTTGGGTATGACTGGCTGATGACGGCTAATAAGCCAGAAATGGCCATTCCGGTCTCCCTTGTCTTTGTCGGTATCATCTCATATATATATATATATATATATATATATATATCCCGCTCATCATCCCCAAAAGACGACAAAGAAGAAAAAGGGACGATTGCATGGACCACACTGCATTGGTGCTGACGTTTAGGAAACTTCCTCGTTTCCATCATCAGAGTGGTGGGGTGTCTGTTCCTGCTGGCTCGGAGTTGTTCTGTCTCGCCGCCTGTCTTTTGTTATAGGCGTGTCTGACGCACGAACTCTGACCTGCCTTCTGGCTGGGAATTGGCTTTGGTCCCTCCGCGGGCGGCCGATGGCGCGCTCCTGTGACCTCTGCCCCCTGGGCGGCTGTCGTAGTCGTTCCAAAATCTGTGTGCCCATGGGCCCTCTCCTCATAATCGGATGGACTGATCAGCTGCCGTTGCATGTTCGAATCACGCTCGGCTGTCTGGGCGATGTCTCGCGTTGGTCGTGTGACCTCCGGCTGGCTCTTTCCCCTGCTGTGAAGGTGACAACTGTTGGAGGAGCCGCGACTCGCTCACCAGTACTGTCGGCCCCGTCTGGACTGACTGGAGCCTTGTACGTAGCGCCTGGTAGGCCAGATGAGGATCAATAGCCCTGTTGATTGTGCCCACTGAGGACCAGGATTCGAGCACCAGCCTAGCCATCTTGTCATGGGCCCGACCGAGGACGCTTGCTTCCCCAAAGGCGAAACTGTATTTCTCTTGTTGCATGTGGTCATATACCAGTGACAGTTTATCCTTGCGGTTGACTGCAAGCTGGTGCTCATGCAGTCTTGTGCAGAGGCGTTTCCCCGTTTCACCAACATACTTTGCATTGCAATTTTGGCACGGTATGCGGTAGACCACTACTAATTGTTCCGTTGCCGGTAGCGGGTCTTTGGGTCTCACTATCTGCTGGATTCCGGTTTATGGGTCACCCCAATCCAAAAAGGGTTTAGGATTCTAGCTGTCGCCTCGGAAACATTCCTCACGTAGGGGATCGCAAGCGAAAACTTCGGCTTCTCACCGTCTGATCGCTGACGGGTAGTCTTTAGTCGGAACTCGCGTATGAAGGATCGCGGATAACCATTGGCTGTGAATAAAGAATGTAGTTATTTTGCCTCCTCCTTTTTCCCGTCGTCAGTACAGTGTGTTTGAACTCGTTGGAAGAGAGTTCTGACACAACTGCGCTTGTGACCAATAGGGTGGTTACTTCGGAATTGGAGGATGCGTCTAGTATTCGTCGCCTTACGGTATACCGTAGTTCTTATCCTCCCACTAACCGTTCTTGCAACATTCACGTCGAAGAAGAGCAATTGGTTGTTCTCCTCTTCCATTGTAAATTGGATGTCGGGGAATATTGAGTTCAGTAAGACCTTGAAGTCCTGAACGTCGTTCCTCTTGATTACGACGAAAGTATCACCCACATACCGCGCCCAAAATTTTGGCTTGTATGTTGCGAACACCAACGCCTCCAACTTCTGAAGAACAGCTTCGGCTATGAAACCGGATAGGGGTGAGCCCATCGGTGCACCTTAGATTTGCTCGTACACAGTCCCTTCGAGGTTGAAGAACGTCTGGAGGCAGCGCGCTGGAAGTCAGTGACACGCCAGCACAAAATAAAACCCTTAAATACTGTGACGTGCCGCGCGCAAACCACCTCAAATGATGGAAGCTTGCTTGCTTTCGAAACGCCAGGCCAATGAAACCCTAGTTCCCGTCATCGCCTTACCTTCCCAGTTATGTCCGAGAACGCGCGCTTTCGCTTTAATCGGCAATATATATATACATAGATTCTCGTGTGTTGGGAAGTGCTTAGCTGTCATATTACAATTCACAGGTGTCCCCAGACGAGACGTTCGCAAATACCAACGGACCATAAGTTAAGCTCAACGTGGGTTATACTTGGGACAGTTTCTACGCACAGGCAAATAATAAGACCTAGGCAGTAAAAGGTCTTTACTCGTCGGCAGAAAAGGCAAAATAAGTATCAAAAGAGACAAACGAGACCCCACCCGGGCGAGCGAGGAAAGAAAGCAAATAAGGAAGAGCAGGAGGTCAAGTCATAGGAAGATGCATATCTACAGTGGAAAGCGTGCAGAAAGAGGAAGACAGGCATAAACATGCTCAAATCTCGTCTGTGTCCGAAAGCGGGAAATAGCACCGCGTTGTGATGCCAGCATAGGCACAAAAGCGAACTAAAAGGCCGCACGACGACCGAAGCCAAAGACGTGCAAGCCATAAAGGCCAGATATCGAAAAGCGGCGCCTGACCACAGCCCAGACTGGCCGGATGAAGACAGGCAGTAGCCACGCCCTCGCACAGGATGCGGTTTGACTGCCTGAACTGCCCCAACGCCGCGGCAATCTCCACACGCGAAAGCCACGCCAGCCAGTTAGAGATCAGGGCTAAGCGGGCAACTGCGTATAGCCAACGACAGCCCCGGGGTCCAAAGATGTGTTCCGGCCATGTCAGCTTATTGACAGAAGTATCCGCCGCGGTGAGCCAGAACAGACTGGTCCAGCGTTTCCTGCTTGGCGTTGTTGCGGGAAGACAGTGCGGAGAAGGGGAAGAGGAGTCGACCGTGTGAGGACAGAGCGCGTTAAGTACGGGCGACCAGGGTGAGAGGGCCTGAAAAAGGCGGTAGAGAAGAGCATAATAATCTTGTCGCCGGCGGAATCACCATCAGCACAAACATTCGGATTAACATCACCGTTGCACACATCCCTATCGTCATTATCGTCGTTATCAGCACTATGCTCGCCATCGCCCTCATAGTCCTAATTCTACTTTTCGTCATTATTATCCTCAAAAATATCAGGTTGGGCTTGAACTGCGTGGCCCCCCATGTGAACATGCCGCGCAAACGGCTACATATTGTGCACTCACAGAAATACAAGTCTTCTTGGCAGCGCACCATATGAAACAGGGAATGTAATACACAGTGGCCAATTCGCCTGGCTGCCAGAAGTCCTTCAAGCCCTCGACACACAACCTGCCCAAGCAACCTGGTACGTGGGCCTTGCTCGCGCATACGAATCGCATAGTTATCTATGGTGAAACTACCCAAATAGAAGATAGAAGCATCTGCTCCAAGCAAAGGAGTTAGAAGTGAATTGGCCAATGCTCCACAATTTTCCAGTGTCAAATAATCGGCAACTGACACGTGACTAAGGCAGAGAGATGCAAGAATTACATTTCCGCACGTAAAAAACCCCTATCCAGTGAGTCCGTGCACTGATTGCTCCAGTACTTAATGTCTCAGCGCTATAAATAAAACCTTGCTCCTCTTCTTCATTCCCATCTGTCTTTAACAACTTTTCATCGTCCGCCAGTGCACACAGAGTCTATTCAAAGGTGCACATTCAGTAAATAAAAACGGATAACTTTCGCGAAATATCTACTTACTAGCGGATCCAATAGAATCAAACAATCCAGCTTGAGATGTCGGCGACAGAACATTGCAACATCCTTCACCAGCCTCGGAGTAGAGCCCCTCCAGGAAGGAATTCGGGTCGGAAAATTCTCCTCCAAATCTATAACCTGCTGCGGCGCTAGGATCGGCGGCCATCGCGTCTGAAGGAAGATCCACGCAGTTGGTGTGATATCCTGCATGGTCTCAACTGCCCGACTGTAATACCAACTACAGTCGTAGCAGTACTCAACTGACTCATTAGTGGCATTGTTCATTCTGCCGTACAGGTAACTCTGTGAGTCTTCCGAGGCTCTTCTACCTTCGCTAGCGTCTTCACGGTCAGCAAAATTGTCCTCCTCATCCGCCTGTCTCCCTCCACCAACCTCACCGTCACTTGGTCTGCTGGCGCGACTCGAAAGCGATTCACCGGAGACCGACCCATCCTCCTTCTCCTCCTCTTCCTCCTCCTCCTCCTCCTCGAAACACTCCTCCGTCCGCGCGTTCTCTCCTTCGTCTTTCTCGACAATGGACTGATGGCCATCAGCGCTATGTGTAAAAACATCTTCGCAACTCAGACCAAAGAAGTCCTCCAAATTCATTGACTCATCCAGCGGATCGTCCTCAATTTGTCTCGGCTTCGATCGCGATTCCGCGAAAAGGGCACAAAGTACATAGTTGCCACAGCCCGGAAACAGTTCGTATGAAGTTGTATTGACGTTTTTAACATGAAAGAGAGCGGATATACAGCTGAGAGCAGGTGAGTTACTGTAGCTGGAATATCGTTCACCCGAATAAAAGTCCCGGCGATACGAGGTCCACTCTATGAAAGAGCTGGTCTGGGAAGTGGATTCTTGATAAATATGGGTCTCAGGGGCCGCCTGATCAGCCTGCTTGCAGAAATAAACCGGTTCTGTACTGTTCTGACACGCAATACAACCCAGAAAGTCACAAAAATAGAAGATACGAGGATGAGAATTTCCCTGTTGGTACAGGAGGATACGAAGGGCTTGGAGGTAGTTAGAGCGGCTGAATGAGTAGATGGAGCCGAATTTATCGGAATCGGTACCGACTGAGTAGCGGACATTGGCGACAGAGGGGACATAATTTGAAGGAGTGGAGAAGCTCAAGGTGTCAGGTACCACATCCAGATCTGACTGCTGTGTTCCGACTTTGCACTTCAACTGTCCCTCCAGAGGAGTGGTTGGGACAGTGGAAGGTGTGGTCTGAAAATGTGCACATCCAGTGAATCAGAAAAAAACAGGACTCATTGGACGTTTTCTGGGAAATCTGGAATATGTGCAACGGCACACGTGGTCATCCTCACTTAAGTTATAAAACCACCATGTAGCCCACATGCCTTTATAATTGCCCTACACAACTAACTTTATTTTATTCCAAGTTTAGCTTCGTGATCACCCAAATGAGCCAGCATAGAGTAGGAGAGGGCAGGACAGTATGTAATTCAGTTCACGACCGGCAGGGAGATTCAGCGAGGTTTGAAGATATTATGACGAGGTGTTCAAGTAAGTTGCGTATACATGTTTCCAGGCGACGCACTTGGCAAATCTGAGAGAGGATATCTCCCTCGACAGTAAGTGCACTTGCCCTTAAACACGACAAATCCCATAACACACCAAAAACCCAGTTCGGGGGAGGATGCTCTGAACGCAGCTTAGCAACATGCCATATCACGATTTTGGACATAACGAGGGACAAACTGCTCCTGTTATGCTGACAGTTGTCAATCATATAAACAGCTATTAAAGACTGCTTCATTTACAGCAAAGCGTCACCACGGGAGAGGTCTACAAAGACAGAATGCAAAATAATTGAAGTATGTGCAATGAATGGAGGAGAACACAGACAATCGTTTCATAGGCATGCACAGGAATGGGATCTCGGGCAGTTCCACGAAACCACATGGAACCTATTTGATTTCAGATCAGCCATCAATGGTAGGCAAAATATAGACGGCATATGATGTCTCGGGACATTGAAAAGACAAAATGTACACTCCACGACAGGTGACACCATGAGGAGGGGGAGTCTAGTAAAATTCTAGACAGAGGAGCAGCGCCTAAGAATTTCGCAGCCCACAGGTAGTCTTCATGTGGAGCACGTAAGTTTCATGCGGTCCATTATTTACGGGCATGGCAGCAGACAGGCTATACTTCATGCACGTTGACTTGGATCAAGCAGAATGTCACAGTCAACGATGAAAATGGCGAAGAAATAGAAAGCAGGTTAGAAGGAAAGAAAATATCTCACGCACAGACGAATTCGAATGAGCGGGAGGTTGCGATTCACCACTGTTCTGGTCCCCTCTAGGCACCGGAAAACAGTTGTTAGCACGTGCCCATGTGCACCACTTCTCGTTCGCCGGATAGGCCTCGCCTTTGACAGGAAATCCGGCAAGAAACTGCTTGCACACCTCCTCGAATCTGTCTCTGTACTCTGGGGGTAAGGAGCCGAATGTGTTATTGGAACTGTCAAAGTTTGGATTAGCAAGGAGAAAGAGGACCGCCTTGATGACGTCGAGGAAGCTGTAACAACTGAATACAAAAAGGAAATAGAGTGCTTTCCCCTGCGTCAAATGAACAACCTACCTGTTCCAGTCATCCATGATGCTGAGGCAAATGTAGCCCCCTTGTGGATTAATGTTGGGATGAAAAATTGGTGTGAGAAGGCGGATTTCAGGGCTAGTACGGGGATAGTTGTCAGAAGCGACTATCTGAAAGGAGGATAGATAAGAAGCAAGTATTTTTTCAATCTATGCAAGCAGTACGAAGGGCCTTATGGTTTGCAAGACTGAGTAATAACCTTCCTCAAGCAGGAGAGTGGACTATTAATCGGGGATCTTTAAGGTGTTCTAAGTGATTGCTATATTCGAATCCCAAACTATAACTACGTAAGCAGGTAGAGGTGATGAAACAAATGCAAAGACATGTGGTGATAAAGAGACAGAAGGCTTATAGCCAGTTACTTCGGTTCCCATAAACCAAGAGGTCGGGCAAAGAGTTGCTGGAATAATTATTTGGCAGACTGGTTTATTTATTTAGGTTACGTTGTGCTGAGAAAATCGTAGACACGAGAAACTATGACTTACCTCTAGAGTGAACATCGCATGCGCGTAAGGGCCCTCATTCGGAGTGAGCAGGATTTCAAGCCTGCCTCCACAGACGGAGGAGATGCTCGCTTGTTTATTGGTTGATTCGCCGATGGAGAGGTATAGACTACGTAGGTCCTTCAGGTAGCTCCGCCCCCCATGGTAGGCCATCGCTCGTGGCGTTTATCCTTTTAGCCCTTGAAAGGATTCAGTTGGCTTTAACCAGAGAATTTTGACATCTGTATAATATCGGTATTTGAACAAGCGTTTGGCTGGGGAGGCGCCAGACTGATTTTAGCTCAACAAGCTTTAACGGCTATTTTAATAAACAGGGTGGAGCTTCGGTACAAACTCTCATAGCAGGCGTCGTTTTCACGAGGGACTACGCTGAATCTCTAATACCGTATAAGAATGGCTCGTGTCCTTACGACAATATTATGCGGCAGTCCGGTTAAAAATGGAGCAGTATCATAGAGTTGCACATGAGTTTGGAACCAAATTGAATCATATATATTTATATTCCTGATGACATGTTATATGGGTAAATCGAAGATACGATGGAATGATTACATCTGGATGCCTCAGCACCAGGACAGGAAGGCGTAATATTGTTAACCCAAGATATCTACAAATGAAACGGAAGGACCCATCTAATTGCATTCAGAAGGTAAGAGGGCACTGAAACACCAAAAGATGTTTTCAAATTTTTTACTGTTTATAGTAAAACGCTGCGTTACTGACTTTCCAAGTATGTACAATACAACAAATCATCTGAAAGTAGCACTCCACCGATCAGGCTGCATAGCGGAACATGCCCCTCCTATGTTGCCCAAGAACACTCTAAAGAGCCTTTGCCGACAGTTATGCAGCGTAAGCAAAACTAACAGAAAAAGACGAGAGAAGATGGAATATCCAGCTGCGACTTATTAGCCCTCGTACACCGGCCATAAACAAATCCTAGAGCTGAATAACCTGTGGCTTGAAGAGAGACTTTCTGGTTGTTGAACATTATAAATAAGCAAGCTCTCGACTCTGATGAATAGGCAGTCGCGAATCATGGATGACTGTGTTATAAGGACGTAAAAAGCCAGACTAAACTCATTAATCCTCAAAAAAACAATAGATTTGCTTCCTTGCGCACTATTTTCGAGGCGACAATGATAAAAGACTACTGAATTGGATGAACATGGCGGGCTGATTTCCATAAAATATCTGCCTTCAGCATCACTGCAAGTACTAGACGAAATGGCATTCCAACGATAGTCGTGCAGTCAGCCAGATCAACTATATCTTAGTCAGCGCAAAATGTTGTAACAGAATGCTTTGTCGATGTGGTACCGAAATCGGCAATGCCTACTGGTCAGAATATGCCGTCGTCCGTGGTAGCCGGAAGGTTTCCCTTTGCTCCTCGTTCCAAGACCTCATGTCAGACCCATGGAGGTCATAGAATTGCGACGGTTACATATAGCTGATGTTTTGGACCCAGGAACTCTGTCTCACTCCGCAGTTCGAATCACGGGAGCAAAAAACAACAACAACAACAACAACAACTGATCTTCACTGAAATCCTCAGGTGGAAGGACAACCAAAGGGTGTCCGGATTCACCTAGCGGTGTCAAAGTGATGGGATCGGCATACGGGCCCCATATTTGTTGGCCCAGGCAGCTTGCGCTAGATCTCCACTCAACTGCGGCGAATAACATAGAACTCGCTAGAGATAACTTAAAGGGCTATTTAACCGAAAGAGGGAACCCAATGGATGAGAAGTTAAATGTCGATGCCACAATAAAACTAAATCAATTTGTCTGTGAAGTCATTGGTACTAGTTGACTCTGTATACGATGTCAGTGGGGACTTTTTGTTAATAGCTCAATCAAGGCCACGTGTTTGCGTAAGCATTTCTAGCTGTTTCTCAACTTCAATGATCAAATCACTACTTTACCCTCAGCCTAGGCAGTAACGCATTGTCCAATTTCCGAGGAAAAAACTGTTGATGGAATACTGAGGCAACGAAGCATCAAGGCGCTCGAAGAGGACAATAACTCGGCTATACTCAAGAAATCTTCCGACGGTATAGCGCCATCGCTATACGCTGCGGCCAAAAAGACAAGGGGGATGTGATTTTGGTAGTGGTTGAGGGTCGCTCACCGATCGCTTTACGTAACACACTCGTCCCGTTGGTAATATACCATTGTTAATATACCCGATCGCAACCGATAGGACAACGAGCCCGTGGCTCAGTGATTAGGGTGCTGGACTTCCAACCAACAGGCTGCGGGGTCACGCCTCAGAGATTGCAAAATTTGGAGTTAGTTATGGCTTGCTGATGACGACTAATAAGTCAGAAATAGCCACTCCAGTCTCTCTTATCTTTGTTGGCAATATCACTGTCTAAGATGCGATTTTCTTCTAATAGCCGATGGTAGGCCGTTGCTGTGCATGCCCTTAATAAGAAAGATAAGGTAAAGTTCGTGAAATGCTGTGGTGTGAGTCGCACTGACATTACTGATACAGGCAAAAGTGCACGCTACTATCCGTTCAGTAACCAACCGTATTGTTTGGCCGAAACCGTACGACAAAAAGTAGCTATCAGGGAAAAAACAGTGGAAAGGTCTCCGAACCATTTTACATGTAAAATATTAGGACGAAAAGGCAAGCCTTTCTCCGCAGGAATATAAGAACTTCTCATGAAAAACCGATAAAATATGCGTATAAAAGCTATCTTTAGAAAACACCATCAGAAAGCAACGAGACAGCCCGAACATAAACTGCTTAGAGATTAGAAGAGATCATAATTATACAGTCCGTACCAGAGGCTGCAGCCTCCAAGATAGTAGGTAGTTGTTGAATGCGTGCGAAAATCGAATTTAGGCAAACATTAATAGGTACAAAAAGCTCCTTATTTGCACATCTTTCGGCTGGTCAGCAAGAGGACTGAACTGTCTGGTCCAGCTTTCGAGGCTAGCGTGCGTTGGGAGTTACCATTTGTCTGACGTTATTTGATGATGACGAGCGAACACAAAGGTGGTTTTCCCGACCTGCATAGTGAATTCGGTGTGTATGTCAAGTAATCGCTAAGGTACGTTTTCGTAAGGCACATATAAAAGGTATTTGTAGAGGATACATATTGAAACAGAAGAATTTAATTATTATAGAAGGACTGGGTTTGAGATGTCGTATATTCGGAAGAAACAATTGGCATTAATGCCATGCGAAATATTATTAAGTTCGAGATACCTATCACAACCCTCCTAGAGACTGTCCATATGGGTCCGCATTCCTAAAGACAAGCAAGATAGCGGAAAACACGACTTTGAGTATGCTGTCCAATAACAATCTAACCCTAACAATAAAAACTGACCACATTCTTTCCCTTTAATTACTAGCCCTAGCACTAAGCCCAAAACGTCCCCTACAATCGCAAACCTAATCGTAATTCCAAAGAATACCAGAAGTAATAATAACTATAACCCTGACGTCCACCCCGACTGAGGCAAAAATCCACAAGGAAGTGAACGGGCACGTTACTGGGCCATCACTGTGTTCATACACTTCATTCCTTTAAGGCACGAACTGTTCATATTTACACAAAGTTACTTCAAATTATGGTCGGAAAAATGTCAACAGAGTTGGATAACCAGTCTATTTATAGAAAAAAACGGCTTAACAGGAAAGGACTGCTTTTCGCGGTAGGAGCTAAAGTAAAAAAAAAACGAGGAAACATAAACCTACTATACAAAGGCCCAAAAAACTCATCTAAGTCGCCCGCAATTTCGGTTAACAAAGCCGTTCATCGTTTTCGTTACGTAGGCAAAAGACCGTACCTGCTGCGTGGACCTATACGCCCGGCGGAACTGAGCGATAACTAGAAGGCCCACTGTCTTTCGCGTCTACACTTTGACTCAGTAAAATACATCAGGTATGAAGCGCATTTGACCCGTGTGTGTTGGGCTTAAAAACAAATTAGTTAAATTTCCCTGGAATTCATTATTTCATAAAAATCTTTCCGTTATCTTATGCAATCTGAGTGGCCGTGAGTACGTAAACGATGTGGTTAGGGCAGCGGTGACGACAGACAGAGATAACCTGCGACAGCCGGAGGCGGTGAGATAAGATTGTTAATACTCAAAAGGAATGAGATTTAAAAAGCTGAAAAGGGGAAATGGTAGACGAAAAATTTCCTAAATTGGTAATTGGAAGGCGGAAAGGATTAATAAAATAAAAAAGGACAAAAACTTTCGTCAAGTGCGAGAATATCACAAACGTTTACCGCCTTGAAATATTTTAAATGCACCTTAAGGCATGAATATGTCAAAAGAGGAAGAGGTGTTCACTAGGAGACGTTCATTTTAGGTCGATGTTTTGAGCAGTCATCTCGCCTGCCCATCTTTAGAGACTAGATAATCTCATTATACGGCGCCCCTTGCTTGGTGAGTGGCCGGCTAATACCTCCTGTGTGGCTGCATCCGGTACCCATTCAACGTGACCTGTGTCGCCCCTGCCCTCATTGACCGCGGAGAAAATATGCGGCCCCGAATTTTCCACGCCGTAACTGTTTCCCGTCAATAATTCTCGTAAAACCAAATAGAGTGGAGTGAAATTAATGTGGCGGTTGACATAGCGGCCGGCGGACATTCAGGCTTCTTGCACCTGCCTTTCTGTATGATGATTGCCTCGGCCCACGATCTCGACGGCGTCAAAGTAGAAGATGCGTCCCATTTGCGCGGACTACTGGCCCAAACTTCGCACGGTCAACTGACGCTTAGGCATTCGCTTTTTAGCCGTCGGCCAGTTTTTCCAACGTAGCTGCACACCCCGCAGCTTCAATGAAGTCGGTAGACAACGGCCGACATCTCTTGTCAAAGGATAGGCTCTTTGGGCACATCACTCGCCCGCAGATATTTGAGGCAGGCCTGTGAGCAATCCCTACTACGAGTAGGGTGAGGGACCTAGCCAAGGCTCAGGAGACCACCTTCGTGCATGGATTACCTAGTTACGATTTTGGATGGTCATGTCCTTCATTCCGTTTCATTTTTCGCATTTGCCTCCGTTTAACAGATGCTCGCGGATACTCATCGAATCCGCAGAGTTCTTGAAGGAGCTTCATTTCGTCCATTTTAGAGGCTGGTGTTCTGCAATGATTTTCCACTCGCCCACATAATGTTCGTAAA